TGTCAGCTCGTCTGAAACGATACGCAAGGCAAACTCCATCTTATCGGTGAAGTTATTGGTGTATTCATCAACTGACATGCTGCCTTTCGTCAATGTCAGAAACGTGTTCTCTAATTCCAACAGATTTTGAGCCGAGCAGAACTTGCGCTAGAACTGCACCAAGAATTCTGCCCATGACAATTGCAGTGGCTCATTAGGGCTCAAAGTCTTCCCTAGAGTATTCCACCAACGAACGGATCCACCTCGGAACTGACGCACTGCGAACGTGGTCTGCAACTTGCCTCTGCAGCCACAAGTCATGAAGGCCAATTCCATTTCTGAGATCCAATCCATAACTCCAATCGGATCCTCCTTTCCATTGAAGGTCGATGGTTTGCAAGTTAGAAAGTCCTTGTACTTGCATCTCACTCCATCATTCCTTCCATCATGGTTATCTTGCCTAACTATCGGTGGGCTGGCTTGACCAACAGACCCACTGAAGTTTTCACCTTCCGAGTGCCCTTCATTTAATTCAGGCTCTTCCACACGAATTGATAGTTCTTCATGATTCTGTTGAAGCAACCTTTTAGTTCCATCCATCTGACAATCCAACATCGTCTGAATCATCATTTGCACACCAGCCATGGTTATTGGCTCAGGTGCTGCTGCCACGACAGATATTTGTTCAATCACTGGTGGTTGATTCCTGTTTTCATCAGCATTTCCAACTCCACTTCTTGTTCTCACCATTTTTGATCTACACACCGAATAAGGTGAAATTAGATCCTCATTCACGATAGATATTCAAATCATCCTTATCACTCCGAAACGTTTACATGCTAGTTCTAATATCATAGACGTACGCTTAGAATCTTACACACATAAAGTTTCTAGATCCGGTCGGCAACAGACCATAGATGCGAACAAATAATATCATATATGGCAACATATAACATTTAGCACATAAAGCATTTTAGGAAACTTTCCAAAAATAAACTAGTGCTCGTGTCTAAAATATAACAGACACACATCTCAAAACTCCACTTAGCATTCTAAGTTTAAGTCTAGAAATCCTACAAATTCCTAGTTTGCTTAAACAAATGCTCTGATACCAACTGTGACATCCCCAAAACCTCGACCAGAAAAGACCGATTTTCATTTATGCTTTTAAAATAAATTCAGAGTAAATCCTTTTGATTTGAAAGAGTTGCGGAATTTGTTCCCAAAAACAAAACATGATAAAACAATGTTTACCAAAGCATTTCATAAAAGAAATGTATTTTCATTATATAATCAAAACTCGGGGTGTCATGTTCCGATACAGACCAATAAGCATAAACGATAACATTACAAGTCATTCAACAAATATATACACATACAGACTTGTAAACAAAACAACTTGATGGTTCATCCATCTTATGCCCTCGCGCCACTTCCTGTAATACAAATAAAACTGAGTGGGTCAGGCTTGGAAGCCTTGTGAGCATATAGGGTTTTCAACCCACAATAAATAATTAAATTAATTTTCATCAACCAACAATAACCCAATTACCCATTCCCGTTATTCTCAGTTTATGTCCCTAAAATAACTAACACAAGGGACCTAGTCTAAGAATATTTCATCGGGGTGACAACACATGCTTCGGGGGTTCCTCAGCAATATAAGTCAAATAAGGCAACCATGAGGGGGATGGAATACAACGAATGAACACCCAAGTTTATTAACACCTACAGGTTATGAGCCTGTTAGCGTTCCACTGGACTGTCTAGAAAAGTCCGTGGTCGTCATCTAAATTCCGCTAGATGACTGGATCAAAACAACATCGAGGCCTCTCATCTGTTTATTACACACCAACTATCTACCCATGTTCTACCCAACATATTAGTAGATAAAACATACATTTTTATACATAGTTTCAAAACCTGTATAGCATGCTCAATCAATACATTTTCCACATAACAGATGAGGCACACCCACATAACACGTATTTCATAGAGAAATGATCAGATCTATAAGATAAAAGAAAGTGAATATACATTCACACACATAACAACAAAATATACACATAACACGTATTTCGTATAAAATACTTCATAATTATGCGTTAGAAGAAAGTAATTACACACTCACTTGATCAGAAGATGATCGGACAACACTACGGGTTACAAAGGTTAACCTAGACTATTTCATTGCTAAAAATGGCAAGCCTGGAAACACAGGCGTTACAATGACCTTGTGGAAAAGTACTAAAATAGAACTCGTCAAGAGAAATATAAAGTGGTTAAGTCCCTTATGGCTTGGAAGATGAAAGAGGGAGATTCTATGTTCAGCCACATGTAGAGAATGCAAAGATACGTGGAACGCCTTGTTAGGCTAAATGTGCATTTTAACGAGGAGTTGGCATTTGACATGGTCTAGAACTCCCTACATGTTGTTTTGATCAGTTCATATTGGCTTATCATTTGAACAACACAAAAACTACATTGGCTCAAGTCCATAACTTGCTACAGACTGTTGAGTCGGGAATGAAGGGAAATAAGCCACTCCCTTCCATTAATGCTCCTGTTCTCGCCATTGGTAAAGGTAAAGGGAAGAAGAGGAAGACTACTCCTAAAGCTAACCGGATGAACAAGGCCCAAGTTGGGTCATCTAGCAATGGCCCAAAGGCAAGGCCCAACTCAGACATTCCAGTTGTTAATGACCCCAAAGAGGCCATTTGTTACTATTGCAATTGCAAGGGACATTGGAAGAAGAGTTTCCCTATGTACCTGCATAACATCAAGGATGGAAAGGTGAAGCCATCATCATCAGGTATATATATTATTCAAACTAATCACTCACAATATACTCGTTCTTGGGTCTTTGATACAGGATGTGGTTTTCACATTTGTTCTTATTTGCAGGGACTAAAAGAAAGTGAAGAGGTGGAGCATGGGAGGATGAATCTGATCATGGGAAATTTGCTATTTTCTCTTATTAACAAGATTAGGACTTATCATCTTATGCTTAGTAATGAAGTTATTTTAGATTTGAATGATTGTTGCTATTCGTCAGAAATGACACGAAACATTATTTCATTTCATGCATTGTTATAACAAGGTTTTCGTTATTCATTTAATGATTTGATTGGGTCCATTTTGGTTAAAATAATGGTGTTTTTTATATTTGAATATTTACCTTGTAATGGTGTGTATGAAACTATGAGTTTTGTTGATAGCTTAGACAATAGTGTATTTCACATTGATTCTTCTAATGGTTTAGACAATGCATGCTTGTAGCATTATTGTCTGTAGCACATTAAAAAGAAACACATCGCCCAACTCCAAAATGATGGAGTCTTGGAATCATTTGACCTAAGGCCAAATAATGAATGTGAATCTTGTCTTTTGGGCATGATGACAAAATCACCTTTCACTGGATCTTGTGAAAGAGATGAAGGTTTGTTGGACCTTATACACACAAGGGATGCTAATTGATTTTATATAACATTTACAGATGATATAACAGCTATGATTATATCTACTTGATCCAACATAAATCAGAAACCTTTGAAAAGTTCAAAGAATTTAAACATGAAGTCGAGAATCAATTAGGTAGGAAGATAAAGATACTCCAACAGATAGAGGAAGAGAGTATCTTAGTATCAAGTTCCACGACTACCTCAAGGAATGTAGAATAGTTTCACAATTGAATCCTCCTAGAATGTTACAACTTAATGGTGTGGCTGAGAGACGCAATCAAATCTTGTTGGACATGGTTCAGTCGATGATGAGTCGAGTCACTCTTCCTATTTCCTTCTGGGGGTATGACTTAGAGATGACCACATATATCCTCAATCTTGTCTCAACTAAAAAGGTTGCCAAAACACCTCACGAAATGTGGAAATGGAAGGTTCCCTCGTTAGCACATATCAAAGTCTGGGGTTGTGAATCTTTCGTTAGACGAGAGACTCATGATAAGCTAGAAGCTAGAAGTGATAGATGTATTTTCATTGACTACCCACAAAAGTCTTTTGGATACTTGTTCTACTGACCTAGTGAAAACGTGGTCTTTGTAGCACGAAGAGGAGTCTTTTGCAAGCGAGAGCTCGTATGCAAAGAAGATAGTGGAAGCATAATTGACCTTAAAGAGATTCAATAGTCAACCAATAAAGGAACCTTAGAAGACACTAGCACTCAACCAGAAGAAGAAATTATAGTTGAGCTAGTTGAAAATTCATTACCTCTTCGTCGTTCCAGTAGAGTTAGCATGCCACCAACATTATGTGGTTTCCATTTAACGTAAGATGGTGATACGTTTATCAGTGATCAAACACTGATAAATATGGATGAACCAACTACAAGAAAGCGATGGCCGACCCTGAGGCTACCAAATAGAAAGAGGCAATGGACAGTGAGATCCAATCTATGTATGACAACCAAGTTTGTAATTTGATTGATCAAGAATCCATCGAAAGACAGTTGGTTGCAAGTGGATCATGATGAGACCTTCTCACCAGTGGCCAAGATAAAATCTATTAGGATAATGTTCGTCATAACTGCCTTTCATGATTATGAAATTTGGCAAATGAAAGTCAAAATCGCTTTCCTTAATGGGAAGTTGGCTGAAAATGTTTACATGAGTCAAGCATAGAGTTTTGTTGATGCAAAGTTTTCCAATAAAGTACGTAAGCTTGAGAAATCCATTTATTGATCAAGAACCCGATCGAATGACAGACTACTTATATTCTCGGGATAAGAATTTTGAAAGATAAAAAGAAAATACTAATTGCACTTAATCAAAATACATGCTTGAAACAAAGATATAGATATATATAGTCATATAGCTAATAGACATATTCCAGCCCTAGTTGATAATTGGTGACTACAAAGGAATCTTCTTGGATCAAGAAACCTGACCACATAATTCTTTTAAAGTTTCACTTTAGTCACACACAACACCCTGACTACACTTTTTTCTATGAACAACTTTGACTGCACCTTATCGCTTCAATTCCAGCTTTAGTCATGCATTGTACATTCTCCTCCCAAACAAAATAGTAATCATTTCCTATTTACCATTTCCACTATTTTCTTTCAAAGCAACCATAACATTCCATTAAATAATTTCACATCCCAAAAACAAATTTTATTAAATCATTTAAAAAAACTCATGAATTAAAATTCAAATCAATTATTGAGAGAGATGAATGGTCACCAACCATCAAATCCATCACTTATATAAAGACAACCTGATAAAAAAAAATCCAGTGAAAGAGGAAAAATAAATAAATAAGTACAAACTTTGCAAATGGGACCATATTAGAATATTGGGTGTGGGGAAGAGGCAGCTGTGCTTGTTGCTAATTCGGAAGCAGTTTTGACCCTAAAATATTCATTCAATTTAAGGTAATACAAAAAAGATTACATTTACTAGTTTTTTTGACTTGACGAGGGCAAAACCGTCATTTTCTTTTTAACAAATGCTTGAGTTCTACTTTGAGGTTCATCATCTTCATCACTACTCTCATCATCTTTATTTGTGGGTTGAGATTCCTCAGCCATTTTTGCAAATTTCCGCTTTTGTGCGTCTAATTGAGAATGCAATTTTCTTTCAACAGGATCATTCGACAGTCCAACTTTCTGTTGACGGGGAACCACCGCACCGATTCCTAACCTATTTTTAAAAAAATAATTAATTAATTAATATTACTAATAAAAAATAAACAAAAATGACCAGAATGGTCCCCACAACAAACAATAAAACATCAAAGATGAAAAATCTTTGTAGTTCACAAAATTTTAAAATAAAAATCTTATAAAAAGTACATGAAGTGTTTTTTTTTTTTTGTTTTGGCGTTTGGGAACCATTCAAAGAGTAGCTTCACAGAGAAAAATGATTTCACGGTGGTCCCATTGTATGTGGTCATTTTTGTAAAAAGTCAAAAAGATGGAGATTTTGTTAAAAATCATCCTCCATTTTGTTCGCTTTTATGATTATCTAAATAGATTTTTTTTTAAGAAAAGACATTAAAGGGAATAAAAAATTTGAACTCAATACTAACCCAGGAGGTCGAGCCTCTAAAACAACTCGAGTTGATTTTTCGTCTGTAGTTCTAGTCATGTTATTAACCCATTTTTCAGCCTACACAAAAAAAACAAATACTAACATAAAAAAAATAGCTTAAATGCAAAAAATGGCAATGACAGAATATTTGATTAGTATATAGAATTGGAAAATTAAGTGCATACCAGTTTAAAAGCTGAATTCAACTTCACTAACTCAGAGTGGGAATTTTTCTTGGACAACTCCTCTGTGCTCATTGCAACTATTCAGCATAAGCAATAAAAAGTCCAAATTCAAACACTATAAGAATTGTTCAAAGTACATGTCAATTGCTGGAATGACCAAAATTAGCACAATCCCTAAAGCATAAAACTGTTTAAATTCTAAAGTCCAACTAATATTAATCTAAATCAAAACAACAATTTCAACTTTCAAATAATCAAAAAGGAAGACAAGGTTCATAAGTCGAATAGTAGTTTAACTATCACAAATCCAGAAGTCACGATTATCTTTCAAATTAAGATACAGAGGACTAATGACTTGATTCAGATTTCAGATGTGTGAAAATCCACAGGCAGTAGTTTGTTCAGACTTTAGTTGATCTCTACATTATTGCTTGGACACAAACAAAGTGTTCTTCCATAACTAATTGCAAACTGATCTCTTACTTCATGAAAGTTACAATATTTAAACTTCTAAACTAGTAAGGTTTTGATTGGCTTTGATTTCAAACCGTTTTATTACTTTCCTGTGTGAGTGAAATTATTCCGATAACAAAAACGCAAGTTCATGATTTTCGATAAGATGAATGAATCTTCGGCACATAGCAATCGTTTACTAACAGATTTCCTCCGATTAACTGCGGCAGCATCATTCACAGGAAGCAAATTTGAACATATAAAAAGTGCACGAACATAATGACACTTCGGTAGATTAATCGTTATAAATTCCTAAAACCGAAACACATAAACCCTAAATCATCAATTGAAAGGGTTAGACCATTGCAACAGCACAGAACGAAAATTTGCTACTTTCATGTACTCAGATTAAAGTTTTAGAATTCCATGATATGTATACCTTTGGATGCCGGAATAAGGAATGAACTGGAAGACTGGTGGACTGGATGCGAGGTATCACTTGACGCCGTTTCTTCCCACCATGTTACACTTGCCCGGCGACTGGTAAATATGGATCTGGGTTTTGTAGAATGTGGGCCAATGGGTAAGAAATACTAATTGAGAAGCCCATGGTAACACAATTTTTGGCACGAAACTTTTTTAGTTTGTCATATAAGCTGTAGTAAATATAAGCTCAAACACTATTATTAATTCTCAATTAATAATAAGCCTTTGATAATGAAATATTTAATTAATTATAATTGTTTTATTTATTTTTATGATTTCAACTTTCAAGTGTGTGACTGCATTGATTCATATAAAAACAATAATATTGTTATTTCTTTGTTTTTTGCAAATTAATTCCAAAAATTATTTCATATTAAGATTTAAGGCATCCCTTGTAGTTTTCTACTATTTCCTAAACATTGTTTTTAAGCCAATGTTTGAAAGCAGAGGATTTTCCTTTGCAATATTTTTATAATAATTATAGTTGAAGCATAAACATATATTCGAATTGGGCCTAGTTGGTGGGATGTCACAACTTGTATCAAAGTATTAGCTTTACTAAATTGGGTTTATAAGAATCTACTAATTAACCGAGTTTTAGCTAGGTAGTATATGCATTCTGAGTGATTGTCTGGTAGCTATTTGGGGAAGTAGAAGCAGACCTATCTTTCTACAAAATTACTAATTTTATATTAATCAGTGTATTATATGCCCTAACATTTTTTTATGCGTGTTTTGTTGTATATTGAGCCGACTTTTATGTACATAAGTACGATGGTGAGGACACGCAGTAGTGTAAGGAAGTCGGGAAAAAAGCTAGAACTTATGAAAGGAAATTTTGAAACTTTTCAATACATCAAGAAGTGATGGTGTTTAGAGGCATTCATTAGTCACAGACCACCCAATTAAGGATCATGGAAGTTAAAGCCGGAGATGACTTGGAATTGGGCCACGGATATGGAGCAGATCTTTGCCAATTGTGATAGTGTTGAACAAAATAAATTGTGATAGTATCCAAGTGTTATATAGTTCATGTGGACAGGCCATAACGGCGTCGTAACATAGAGCACAATGACCTGTCTTCTTGTTATTGCAATTCCTGCCGTAACGATGAAGTAGAATCCCACCGTCGACATACGGTCACCTTTAATATAAATAAAAAAAATTTACTCCTTTTTTTTTACTATAAATACAGCACTTTTTACCCAATCTTTTTAAACCATTATCTTCTACTCTTCATATTATATAAAATTTCATACTTTTTTCAATAAAAAAAACTGGAGCAAAACCCAAACACCTCTGAATCGAACCCAAACACACAACCAAATACAACCTCAATGATCACTACAAATCTCATACCAAGGAGCCTCTTTCAATCCCGCTTCACCTCCAATGCAATTTCCAAACTCACTTTACCTTCAACAAAATTTGTTTAGGCAAACCCCAAATTTACAACCAAATCTTTTCCCAACTTTCTCTTTGATGCAATAAACAACCACCCAACCACCACCTCCAACACAATCATCGGTTGAAACAGAAAACGGGAGGTAGTAGGAGAAGGAGAGGGTAAGGAAAAAGGAAAGGGAAAGCTATAGTGGTTGAAACGGAAAGTAAAGGAATTCAATAATGGTGGACACCGGAGAAGGAATATGCTTTGGCGACGGCATGGTGTAGTACTTCAAAAAAACAAAAACCGTGGAAATGGTATGAAGAAAGATTCTTATTAGAAGGCGGTGCTCGAAAAATTCCATGTTATGTTGAAGAAAAAACTGTATTGCAATACGGACATGCTAAGCAACAAATGGAGTCAAATAATTAAACACTGCACAACATTCAATGATATTTACACGAGGCTTCAGACGCAACAGTACAGCAGAACCAAAGACTTTGGTTTGTTCAAATCTACAAAAGAACAGTATCTGGTCAAAATGGTACCTGTGTTCGAGTTCGAAAAAGCATGGGAGTTGGTGTGAATTTAAACTCCTACATCGTCATACGTTTAATCGAAGCGGTCGAGATATTCGGGTTCAATCGACATTTCGGATGGGTAAACTAACATTGACTTCAACATTGATACTGATGAGATTTTGGATGATATCGAGAAAATATCCCCATCATGACGACCAATTGGACGTGACAAAGCGAAGCGCGCACAACGACATGTCGATTAAGCTAAAAGAAGGGCACAAGAGTTGATAGAAACGAAAGAAAAGTTCAACCAACACAATTTAATAGCAAGAGAAAGTCGAAGTACAATGCTAACATTTGGAATTCCTTCATTGTCGGGCAGAGAAAGATCAAATGACGAAGGATTTGACAATTCTTCGCACGAGCGGAATCCACAAGAAGTCCAAGTGCTCAGAAAGATAAAAGAAAATATCGAGAAGAATATCTGGATTAGGACTATCGTTTTATGTTTTTAAATTAGGAATATCGTATTTTTTGCTTTCAATGTTTTTTTTTGTACACTGTAATTTTTAGTTTTAAAATGTTATGTTTAATTTAAGATTTAATCAAATAGCATGACTTATTAATTTTTTTAAAATATTATAACAAATAAAAAACAAATTTGAAAAAAACTGAAAATAAATAAATTAAAAAATTGAAAAAAATAAATAAGTAAATCGAAAAAAATATTAAAAAAACGATAACATGAACATTAATGGGTGTTATACCATGTTATAACATGGTGATCGTTTCCTAAATTAATGTTATACCATCATGAATGATGTGACATATGAGATGATACCAAAATAATGTTATACCATCTTGTCCATTATCTAAATATTCTTAAAATGTTATGCTGGGGCACACTGGTTGCAACATGGAAGGGTAAAATAATGCCTTTTGGTGAGTTGTGGAAAACAATGTTTTTTTGCTTCAATAAAAAGTATAAACGGATTGTGTCTTTTACATGTATTTTTTTTTTTGTTGTGGTTGATCTAAATCACCCATGATTAAAAAAAGACTTTTATTTGGTTCTTAGTGTTAGTAATCAACATAACTTCATCAAGAAATATAGTTTCTAGTCTCCTAACAAATACATAACCCTTTTCTTCATCTTATAGTGTTCATCATATTACATATAAGAAAGGGTTCATCTAATAGCCATTCAATCTACATTTACTTATTTATGAGCCTTCTTAATTTTGATGTGAAGGATCAGATTATAATTCCACCAATAAGTTCGTCTACTAGATGAAATTTTGTAGTTTAATTCGATGGAATTCTTCTTATCTTCCAACCAAACACAACACAAATCGAATCACATAAAAACTTGAATTCCAATTTCTTGATTCACATTATGCAGACATGCACGTAGAAAACAATCCCCACCTCTTCTGTCAAATAAAACAAGACCCACATTATTAGTCAAACAACGTCAAATTTGTACCTACAATTCCAATTTATTGACCTATCAACATCCATTTGATTTGGATTACTTTGTTTTCAACTAGCATATTCTAACAACATTAAAGATATAAAATTATGGACTCAAATAAATATACAATATGAACACTTTAATCATATAATGAGAAGCATGGGTTAAATTTTGATTCGTAATCAGTTAGATAGATAAGTTAATAAAATTTGGCTATAATATAAAGAGTTAAATGGTTTATAAATTTGTATTAAAATGTTTGCAGTCGTATTATTTTATTATAAGAAAGCTTTATAATTTAGATGTGTCATATTAAAATTTTTATTCTTTAAACCATGAAATAATCATATATTCCTAATTTGTTTTGAGGAAATTCTTTTAAGTTCATAAAAATAATTTTAGGACAATTCTAGCACCAAAAAAAATAATAAATCGATTATTTTGCATATTGATTCAAGTTTTGCAAAATTATTTTGAAAAAGAAAGAGCAAACGATAAGTTTTTTTAGCGGATTATTTTATAAGAAACCTTGTAAAGCAAAATGAATTTGGAAAAGATATATTTTTCAAACTTGATTGTTATTTTGTGGTATTATCTAAAAGATGATCATTTCTTATCATCGTTTTAGTGCTTTGCAATATCATCGAGCATTACTTTAAAAAGTAGAAATCACTCAAATCGGATGTTGAAATATAGTCGATCATTTTCTTCCACAAACATTTATTAACGAATTTACTTACCCTTCTGGGCTTCAGACGGAGGAGCTCCGGCGAGATCTTGTACAAGTCCTCATCCACAGCCATCGGTTTCGCTTGCTTGCTCCATGCTCCGGTCGGTGTTGCTACACTCACCGGGTTCGGCGGTTCCTTCTTATCACCGTCGTACACCTTTTTCGCTTCCTTTGGGTACCTCTACGCAACAGAAATTAACAACTCCAAACTCAGATCACAACTTTGATTCGAGATTTGAATATAAAAAAAAAAAAAAAAAAAACAACGTTAAAAATGGTGAAATTCAATTACAGTTACTCTGCGGCGAGGAGCGACAATAATGGCGGGAGTGACGATGTTGTTCTCGTATAAATCCCCGGCGACGTAGAGATCGCGATCTCCGGAGTAGCTACAACGGATCAAACCGGCTTGTCTGGCGGATTCGAAGCATTGTGTGAATTGAAGATCGTCGTTGAAATCCCAACTACCGAAGGCAGGAATGTGATTTCTTGAGTAATGCTGTAAATTTAGTTGAAACAACTAATTAAGATTAAATTCGAGTAGAGAATTAACATTCGATCGTACAGAAATGAAGGAAACTGTAGCTTACTTTCATGGAGAAGAATTTGAAAGCGAAGTGAGATGGGGATCTGTTGAAGAAGGACTGCTCCCTGTGTTGTGGGGTATTGATTTTATTCGGGAAAAGCAATGGCTACTGGGGACTGTCCACTGGGTTTAATGGTGAGGTAACTGGTATGTACAGTAATGGTGGCAGTGATAGAGATAGGAGGAAGATCCGGTGGGGACATAAACGGAGTTAGAGAGATGTAGGCTGTTTGTAAAAAGAAATGATATTTGGGTTTTTGACTAAAAAAGTCTCCCTTTCACATAAGACATAGGCTTTTGTCCAATGGAAGAATCTCCAATGCAATCAACTTCTTTATACAAGTTTAAAGTTTCATGGACTTTTTTTTATATAAGTTTAAAGTTTCATGGACTTTTATGTAAATGTATAATTGTAATTTGATTCTATTATCGGTGTGACAAAAGATATAACTTTACTGTAACTTTAAGGGATAATGACTTGAAAGGCTAACGAACTTTCGATTTTTGTCACATTTAGTCACTAAACTTTTTTTCGTTATCTATTTGCCATTGAATTATTGAAACTGTTCACATTTTACCCTTTATGACCGGCTGTTACCGGTCATAAGGGTAACATGTGAACAGTTTCAATAGTTTAGTGGCAAATAGATAACGAAAAAAAGTTTAGTGACAAAATGTGAATAAAATCGAAAGTTCGTTTCCCTCTAAAAAGTTCAATGACTAAATGTGAACAAACTTCCTATTGTATTATGTTTTAGCAAAATTATTTATTTTTGTTAAATTGTAGCAACATTTGTTGATGAAGAAATCTATGAAATAAAAAAACAAAATGTAACATCCGGATTTCCAGGTATCATAATTTAAGTATTTTTCTTTTGAGTTAAGAAGAGAGACTCGACGAGTTGACGCCTCAACTTGTCGAGTAAGGTCGCGACTGATGACTCGGATTAATGAATGGACTCGACGAGTCCGTGCTGTTGGCAGAAACCTTAAATCTTTGGGCCCGAGCCATATTTAAAGGCACTTATGGCCTTCAATTGCGACTACCTTTCCCATAAGTGAAAACTCTAGCGAGCTTGAGTGTGTAGAGTGAGAGGAAGAGCTATCTTGAGCTTTTTGGTGTGATAGATCTGGACCCTTCTAGGTCCAGAGAGCCGAGAATATGAAGCTTTAGTAGAGTAAACCTTGGGGTTCGAAGTTAGGAAGCATAACCTTAACCAGCAATGTGATGAAATAAAATGATGAGAGATAGGTGATGATAGAAAGATGATGATAATTAGGTAAATAGATGATGATGAATATGTCATGTAGGATGAAAGGAGATACCATAACCTTAACCAACAATGTGGCGATGTAGTAATCTACCAGAATATAGATGGTGACCACAGACTATTCTAGACAACCCAGTGGAAACACCAGCAGGCCCATAACCTGTAGGTGATGAATTACGATTTCAAACGATGTTGTAACAACGTATTCATGCGATGATACTCTAACCCCTTACTATGAATTACGAGTTCAGACGATGTTGTAACTACATATTCATGGGATGTCACAAATTTCGCATGCCAAACCAATGGTCATAATTCACATCAGTGAAAATGGTTCATTTTTTTGTAAAACCAAAATCAGATTGGAAATTTTGATTTTTTATTTTGGAAAATGTCAAACCATTGGTTTTTTTATTTCGGTTTTGGTTTTTTGTTTTTTTTAAATATATTTTCAGGGTTTTGTTTTTGTTTTTTTTTTTTATTTCATAGATTTCTTTATCAACAAATGTTGCTATAATTTAACAAAAATAAATAATTTGGTAAAACATAATACAAGAGGAAGGTTGTTCACATTAGTCATTGAACTTTTTAGATAACGAAAAAAAGTTTAGTGACTAAATGTGATAAAAATCGAAAGTTCATTACCCTTTTAAATCATTATCCCTAACTTTAATATATTTTCTATGTCTCACTGTTGTATTTTATTATCATTTTATTTTATTTTATTTATATAACAATGATATTATCTTACAATAATCTTATTATATATTTTTTTTAACTTTAATGTATTTTTTTAGGTGGCAAAGAATATGATCTTATTATAATTTTATTATATTTACTATTTCTAACATAAAATATTATTTTACTGTATGATATTACTGTATTCTAATATCTGACTATGATATTACTGAATTCTAATGCTACTGTAAATTATGTGTGTGACAAATTGTATTATTTTAATTTAATCGTATGATATTGTATTATCTTAATTTAGTCATCTAGTATCATATGAGCGTATGTAACTTCCTAAAGATTATCGGCTAAACTCGTATATTATTGTCTAAAATATTGAATGTTCTCTCAGTGTGTTGTCTTTTGTATGTAACAATGATAGTTATTTGTTAATTTTTGTTCAGTTTTTCTTTTTTTTTTTTTTTTTTTTTTTTTACATAACAATAACTTCATAGCTCTTTTTTTATATATAGGACAAAAGTTTGATAACTTTACTCAATATTTCCTTGAAAAAACTATAATTAACTACTTTGCAAATTGCAATATTTATTGTAATTTAGTTACAAATATAAAATCTGTGTCGTTTAATGATAGAATACCTTTTGTTTTGTTTTAGTGGTTATCCTATAATAAAACGAAACTTATATAAATCTTGTAACTGGTGTCCCAATGAGTGCAATGAAAGCATATTGCTGAAACCCACACCGGCACAACGCGTCTTTCGAAAGGAGCTTTGGTTTATCGTCAAATATGGAAATATATTCCTGCCTAAAGGAACTCCTATTTTTAGCCATGTCCTTTTTTCCTTGCCTATAATTATTTCAAGTTTTCAACTTTTTTTTATTTTGTTCTGAGTTTCAATTTTGAATATATATATATATATATATATATATATATATATATATATATATATATATTCCTAAGACCATACGCTATATGACACTTTCATATTATCGTCGTAACACCATGAACACTATCCTTTCAAGATGTTATGAGATGTCTCGTTTGCATTATGACATTTTGCAACGGGAGAATTAACCAATCAAATAACTTTTCTTCCGCATTCTCTCTTTTTTTCTCTACTCTTAACATGTTATAAGATATGAACATTGTTTCTTATATGGTGTTAAGGTGATGTTAAGATTGAGGTGACATGTAAATTGGTGTTATAACCCATACCAATGCTCTAAACCAGTGAATTCAATTGGATCCCAAAGGTAAATCGTTTGGTGTTTAATCTTTTGATTTGAAAAAAAAAAATTAATTACCAATTAAAATGGAAACTAAAATGTTTGTACTTTTATTTTCATATTATTATGAGTATAATTGACAAAATTAGTTGGTAGCTGGTAGCCGTAAGTTTGTAAGTTGAAAGTTAAAAGTTATAATTTTTATTTGTTATATATGTGTTTTACAAAAATAACTGAAAACTTTTGAAATGTACAAAATTACATAAAAATATAATTGTTAAAAAAATAAATATATAAATATTTTTAAGGGATTTGAAATTGATTCAAAAAACTCAATATTTTTTTTTCTTAAACACTGAAATAGTTCAAATTTGAATTTTTTTTTTATTTAAATTATAAGCTAAAAGCTCATAATTTCAAAGACAACTTTTTATATAAATCGATTCTTTGTTAAAATTTAAAAACTAAAACTTCTAAAAGTCGTTTTCGTATGTTATGAATGAACGGAACCTAACATTTAACAAGCAATATATATATATATATATATATATATATATATATATATATATATATATATATATATATATATATATATATATATATATATATATATATATATATATATATATATATATATCGTTGGAACCATTTATCATTTTTTACAACTATTTCACATGAGCATAACAACTTTAGTATACACATGAAACAACTTTATGTTCTCCATATCTTGTTTTGGAAATGAGTTTTTAATCATTACGAAAAGTAACAATGAAGATTACCCTGAAACGCAACACTTCATAATAATTTATTAACATTGTTGTATACTTTTGTATGTAAATAAGCACCAAAATATTTAGAATTAGAAAGGTGTATTCATATAATTAAATAAAGATTACATAGAGCACGTTAATTTGTTTTGAATAAAGGTATATATGGCCATGTTAAATGCTTAAATATAATCTAAATTGTTATAAAATCATTTATGATGAATGTGTATGATTTGCAATAATCAAATAAAAAAAGTTTTGAAGTGGGAACATAAGTAATTGAAGGACCAACTCGATGAATAATATAAACTTAAGGTCAAAGTCAAAATCGTTTATAGTTCCAATGCTTTAGCACATGGTACAGATTACAGAAAATGTAAACCTTCCTTGTGATTTGAACACAAATTCTTTATTCCTTTGCTGGCAGAAATATTAACGGTAAATGCAATAAAAGACAATAAAATATACTATAAAATTATTGATTTCTTGATTTATGGAATATCGATCAACTTATAAAGTTATCTATAAACTTGATTATCCGTTGATTAGGAATTATTATAGTCTATAATTGATTTGACTAATATGGTTTGTCATCGTTTTTTTTTTCCTTGGAACGGCCGGAATTTATTAAATTAAAAAAAGATAGCAATTAACTAACATGAAAATTACCAAAAAGGCTTAACAAGACATATACGCATGAAGCATCTAATGGATTCGGCGCCATTAAACCTATTTTAGAGATGATGGGCTAGAATGGTGTGAGGTTTTCGAAGGTTCGAGTGTAGAGATGCATAATACCTGATTTTTCAAGAAACCAAATCGGTTTCAAAACCGGATGGTTTGAAGCAACAAAATCAAAACCAAATAGATTCAAACCGGATTTGATGCAAAATAATTCGGACCTATAGAAACCGGATGAGATTAGTCATATGAAATTTGAAAAACAAAAAATTTCCTATTTTGTTAGAGTATATAATTAAGCGTGAAAAACAGAAAACATAACATTTCTAATCAAAAATAAGATCTCCGCGTCGTTTTTGGTAGTACTTTTGGTCGTTTATTAATCGTCATCCTCATTTTAGCCATTGTCACGGTTGTTGCGTAGTTCTTCTTCGTAATCGAGTTCTACTGCAATAAGTGGCACTTGCATTCTCATTTCTATTTCTTCTTGGTGTTGTTAGACCTTCGCTATTGTGCCTTCAAAAGGTGAGGTATTTTGTATTTGGTCCACTTCATGCAAATTCGCTTTTCAAGAAAAACATGTGCTTCAATCGTTGTATGGGTGAGTTTTGTTCTTACTAGAGATATTATCCAGCAATTAACACAAAAACAAATTTGAAGCTACCTAAGAAGCTTGGACAGTTAGTAGATCACAGTTAATAGCGGCTAGAATAA